GGGGGGGGGGGGGGGGGGGGGTGGGGTAATCTACTTGTCAGAGTGTTTGATCCCAATTACAAAGAAGAAACTGAGTTCCTTCTACACAATGGAGGCAAAATGGACGATGTCTAACAGTAAAGGTTAATGGAAAACGACATCATCCAAAAAGGGGGGGGGGCAAGATGACTTAGGGGTCCTTAGGGACTGAAAGTTCAGGTCACTCTACCAGGTAAAGAATCCTGACTAGCTAAGGTTCAGATTGAGAACCTTAGAAGAAATATGGAATGGGTAGTGGAAGAAGCAAAGAAAGCAGAGATACCAGTTACAGCCTAACCTTAGAAGAAATATGGAATGGGTAGTGGAAGAAGCAAAGAAAGCAGAGATACCAGTTACAGCCTTGTGACCAACTACAGAAATGAAGACTGTAGTAGCTTTGCTTATTTTCTACATACATGATGATTTGTATATGCTAACTGTTTTCTCTCTACTTCCCATTTTTATTTTATATACAGGCTATTAGAAGTTAACTTTACAAGTTAGTATTTAGGTAACAATATTCAGTAGGACAGTGACTGGATTTGAGGAGTCAATGACTGTAGCAACTGTATCTCATTTTGGGAAAGGATAGAAACTTGTCCACTTGTAAGAAGGGTAGCTGATTTTGTTAGGCAGAAATATAGAATTGTTTTCTTTGTTGTCCTTTCATAGGATTTAAAATTTATGTAGAAAGAGTATACATGGAAGCTGAGTTGTCAAAGGGGTGGACTGTGCCAGTTATCAATTTACTGCCTCTCGGCTCCAAATTCATCCTTTTTGCCTGCTCTCTGAAAACGGATCTGGGCCCTTTAGATTTTCCCTTGCCAGTTGGCACTGAGGTTTTATCAGAAGTGGGCACTAAAGAGACACTGCAGGAAGAAAGGGCTTTGCTTCCTGGTTGTGTTATGCTCACTTGAAAATAGCACGTGCAGCTTTCTCTAGCTCCAGGCTCCTGCAGTACACATCAGCCAGCAACATCTGGTACCCAGAAGCTTCACTTCGTACTCTCTCCTCCCCAGACAGTTTTGTAGCAGAGTACCTCCAGTGAGACACCTCCCATGAATGGTTTTCCCCAACACACTACAAAGCAGGTTTTTAATGAGTTCCAGAGGGCAGATTTTCAGTAAAGTCTGGATCTTGGTTTTGGATACTCTACATCAACCCTAGAGGTAATGGCTGCTCCTTGTATGTTATTCCCACATTCTTTAGAGTTCTCTTTACTTATTACTAGCCAATTCCTCATCACTCCAAACCCCTGCTGTAATTAATAATTATTGAAATTAAACTTTTCTTGATCAAATTATTATGCGGTTTCTGTCTCCTGATTAGGCCCAGACTGATTGGACCTGGTCTAAGCCAGCACAAGCTTAGACTAGATGATGGCAGAAAACAAGAAGTGGATAGGTTGTTCAAGAGACACAAAGTAAAACTGATAGGACTTGGTAAGAGAGTAGACAAGGGAAATGGGAGGGGCAGGATAAAAGATGATAAATGATGACTCCTGGATAAATTTCTGTCTTATATAACTGGATGGATGGCATAATCTTTCACCTAGAAGATACTGGAAAAGGGACAAGTTTGAGAGGAAAACTAACAAACTCAGTTTTGAACAATGCTGAGTTTGAGTTGACTTTAAGACACTCAAGTAGGCATTTGGCTCTAAAGGTCAAAAATTAAGAGAAGTCACAATTAAGATTTGTTTATGAATCATCCCCCTAAAAGCAGGAAGTGAAGCCACAAGCATAACTAAAATGGCCTAGGGAAAAAGTAAATAGTGAGAAGGGAGGGCCTAGGACTGAATTTTAAGGAATCCCAACTTTTAATGAGTGGATAGCATAGATAAGTCTAAGAAGGAAATGCTGGTGCTGCCAAAGAGGTAGAGAAAAATAGGGACAGTGCTGTGTCCAAGAAGTAAAGGTTGGCAGTCCTAGAAGTGCCCAGCTCCTGTCTCCTCAAGAGAGCTGGCTGTGGTTGACTGGCTACCTCCAGTTGCTGTACCTTCAGACATCCCACCTCTTTGGAGCTGCCACGAGTGCTCATGCCAGGGCCACACTTCCTCTAGGCTGCTCAGGGTCAATAACTGAGCTTGATGGAAGTCATTTCTGCCCGATTCTTCTGACAGGCAATCATTGCTCTGGAGCTCCCTACTGGCCTGGCTGACACTTTCTCAGAATTGCACTGCAATGAGAAGCTCTCCCTATTTCCTTTCTTCCCTCTTCCCTTACACAGACCTGCACTGCAGTCTGAAACTGCCCACCTCCAGCCTTCTAGTTAAGCACAATAACAATTTATCACTTTTAGTCAGATTTTTTTTTTTTTTTTTTTAAAGATGACCAGTAGGGCCGGCCTGGTGGCACACTGGATAGTGCGCCGCTTGGGAAGCGTGGCGGCGCTCCCGCCCGAGGGTTCGGATCCCACAT